AACATAATTGAAAATATATAGAGTTAGTAGGATTAGGATTAACTAGAAACGTGATGCTTTACTCTTCCTTGGAGGTTCTAGTTAACTTCAATTTCTAACTCTTTCCTTATCTAGGATAGAGTTCTCTTCAAGTAAGGAGTCCTGCTATCAATTATACAATATTTTCATTTAAGAATATCAGATATAAACGTTTATACTTATCCATTCCACGTGCATGCCTTTTGCTTGAATCTGACCTTAGTGCCCTGTGTACACTGTCCATGAACCTGGTTCATGCATGCGTTCTTTTGTCAATCATCAAAATAAAAACCACTCAGGCCAACAAATTCCCCCTTTTAATGATGACAAACATTGTGCTTTTCTGAAGCATAGAACATGTTTCAACTTAGCTCAACATCAAACGCTACAACAAATTAGACATTTAGCGGCAATTAATTAATGACAATAGCTTAATTGCCGCTAATTTATATTCTAAAGTCACTAATTACCGGTAGTTAAACCTTAGCCTGTAATTTTCTTAAATTATTTTCTCTCTCTTTGCTTGTCTCTCTCTCATCGACTCTAAAGCTTAACAACTATTTCTGCCGGCAAATCCGCCAGAGCCAGCACTAACGGGATAAGCAGACCAGATAAGCTCCCCCCTCTCTCCTCTTTCTCTATCTCCCCCTCTGCCTTTCTCTCTTTCTTCCCTTTTTTTCTTGTTATCCCCCTTCTTAACTCTAGCAGGAAGTAGGCCGGCGACCGTCGCTCCTTCCTTCATCTTCTTTTTCTTTTTTCGGTGTCGCCTCTTTCTTTAGACAAAGATTCTCAAATTTCTCTTTTGAATTCATCAATCAATTGCTAAAAATGAAGATAGATTCGTGAAATATAATCAAAACTGAGTAGAGAACAATTACCACAATCCATGTGGTAAACATCTCTTCAAAAATCATCTCAGTCCGAGGTCTATAGCTCTAAATATAAATAAATGACCATACCCTCGATTTAAAGCTTCTGCCCAGCCATCTTTGCTTTTGTGAACAAATTAGCTGCTTTTGTGGCCTCACTTTTGCGACAGAACATACGCTTCTATGGAACCAGCTAAAAACTCGATCCTCACACCTACGGACAAAATATCTGCTTCTGCGACATCGCAGGTGCGCCCAGTACTCCTGCACATCCGCACCTGCGTCCAACTCTCCGTTTCTGCGATCTTCCTCACCCAGCTTTCACCTCGCTTCTGCGATGGACAACCCACATCTGCGAATTCGCTTCTGCGACCAAGGCTCCGCAGATGCGGCTACACCACCACCAGAAATCTTCAGCAATGCAACAAAAGATAAAAATGATCAGAACCACGTTCATAACTCACCCGAGCCCTGCGGGACTACGTCCAAACATACCAACAAGTCTCATAACATAATACAGACCTACTAGAGGCGTCAAATAATGCATAACGACATCAAAACGACAAATCGTACCTCAACTCGAACTTAAATGAACTTTTAACTTCCAAAACTTGCGCCGAAACATATCGAATCAACCCAGAATGAATTCAAATTTTGCACACAAGTCCCAAATGACATAACGAAGTTATTCCAATTCCCGGAACCACAATTCGAATCTGATATCATCAAAATCAATTCTCGATCAAACTTATGAACTTTTCTAAACTTCAAATTTTCAACTTTCGCCAATAAGCGCCGAAACTTTCTAGAAATATCCAAATGTAAATACGGGAATACGCTCGAGTACAAAATCACCATCTGCACCTAATAGAAACATCAAAACTATGATCTGAGGTCAAGTACTAAAAAGTCAAACTTGATCAACTCTTCCAACTTAAAGCTTCCTAGTTGAGAATCATTCTTTCAAATCAATTCCGAATAACTTGAAAACCAAAATCGACGATTCGCACAAGTTATAATACATCATACAATGCTATTCAAGACTTCAAATAGATGAACGGAATGCAAATGCACAAAATGACTGGCTAGGTCGTTACACTTGTAAACCTAAGGATTGTCTTTAACTCTTGTAGCAACCAGCCACAGGCTGTTGCAAAAGTTTCACGTTAACTATAACTTGAACAATACAACTCAAGTACCTAATACAATTTACTTATAAGAAAGCTAAAAGGTACAACTCAAAAGTCCTACTATAATTGAATTAGAATAAAAACAGATGGAACTAATTCTTATATCTTGTTCATGTAGCTCCAGGTTCACACTCTTAAAACACACAGGAATTGCTTGCAAAATGTCTTGCAATTTTGCTCTCAATTCTTGCTTAACTTCAGTGCGTGTGCGTCACCTGTAAAAGAGAACACAACTGAAAATATATAGGGCTAGTAGAATTAGGATTAATTAGACACCTGATGCTTTAACTTCAATCTGTAACTCTTTCCTTGTCTAGGATAGAGTTCTCTTCAAATAAGGAGTCATGCTCCTTATTTAATTATGTAACCTTTTCGTTCAGGGAATATTAGAAATGTTTATACTTATTCCTTGTACGTGTATGCCTTTTGCTTGAATCTGACCGTGCATTGTGTACATTATCAATAAACTTGGTTCATGCATATATTCATGTATCAATCATGAAAACTAAAACCGCTCAATACTAGACTTTAATTTCTTTAGGTGACAGATTTATAGCCTCACTGCCCCTGTAGCATTTGAGAGCCCAAAATATGAATGAATATCATTATAGGAAGAGTATATTGATAGAAAAATTTAGCGAGAAAGATTGAAAGATTTTGGGAGAGTTATTGGAAAAAAGATTAGAGGAGCGAGAGAAGTAAATATTGTGAAACTACTTTAAAGGATAATATTTTTGGTTATAAGATAGTAGAATTTTTTTAAGAAGTAAAGTGACTGTCCACTACCACTAATAACCGTAACTTGGGTTGTTTTATGCCATTTATGATGTCAGATTGTCGTGCATCAATTTCCTTTCAAACTTCTAGAATAGCGCGCCTGGAAGCCCAATCAAAACTACTAGGGAAATTAATCATGAGATTAGACATTTTTATTTAAAATTATTTAACTTTTAACTTTTTAGTTTACTTTTAATGACATACTCTTAGAACTTTATAAATATTATTATATGTTTAAATCACAAGTTTTAAAGGGCAGGTTGAGCAGACTAGTTCCTCTGTTTCATTTTACAGGATGCTTTTTTTTCTTTTTACTCTGTTAAAAAATACTATTACACATTTTTATTTAAAATTATTTAACTTTAAACTTTTTAGTTTACTTTTAATGACATACTCTTAGAACTTTATAAATATTATGATATGTTTAAATCACAAGTTTTAAAGGGTACTTTAATATATATAAAAAGTAAATCTTGTCCTTTTTTTCCCTCTTAACCTCATATCATGCAAGAGAAATGAGTTCATCCCATGCAAGAGAAATGAGTTGGAGCTTTCTTCTTTCCTCCCACAAAGTGGGCACAACTCCTCATGTGTCAATTTCAGTGTGTGAATGTAGTAACTGCAACAGTAGCTCGAACACCAACCAACAATCTTTGATATACAACTCAAACCTAGAAGCGGATGTATATGCGTTCATTGGAATCCAATATTTTTTTTCCGTAGTCCTTATGTAAGTTTTATTTGTTTTTGTACTAAATAAGTAAAACAAAAGATTTCGAACCCAGTAAATTCCAAACTTGAAACCATAATAATTTTCAAATCCTGGATCTTCCTTTGCTCATCACTCTTGGTAGAATTGTAATCTTGTACCTTGCGATTGTGTGGAGGCAATACTAAAGGTGAATTTTTTTGGATTAACCTAGCTTTTTATTGGATATTCTATGTCAATTACAATAGTGAATTAGCAGTTGGACTAGCAGCTAGTACTGTAGCACAGATGATCATGAATTCAGTTGTTCCTTACTTTATTAAATGGAAAGCGGCTAAATATACCCCTGTACTATCAAAAAAGTTTTAAATGTATTCATTGTTATACTTTGAGTCCAAATATACCCTTGCCGTTATACTATTGATTCAAATATACCTCTCTTTCATTAAGTTTATTCAAAGTGGACATCTACGTGACACTGGCATTTAATGAGGTGGATGCCACATGGCTTGCCACCTCAGTGCCCCTAAACCATTTTATCCCTCCCTTCAATTTTTTTTCCACCACTAAAATTTTCTTCCCCTCTATCACTATTGACACCATTATCGTTACCATAAAAAAATATTGTATTCCAAATTATAATCTTTTATATATGGATTAAGGGCGCTGAGGGGTGGCATGCCACCTCATCAAATATCAGCGCCATATAAGATTAGATGTCCACTTTAAACAAATTTAACGGAAGAGAGATATATTTGAACCAATAGTATAATGACAGTGATATATTTGGATCAAAAGTATAACGAATAATATATTTAAACCTTTTCTAATAGTACTGGAGTATATTTGACCCTTTGCCGTTTATTAAATGCAAATCTATTTGTTCAGTATCTACTCAAAGCATTCTTTATAAATGTTCTATAGAAAAATATCTTACTAATGCGATAAGGAAAAAAAAAAATCTTTGTTTAGTTTATTAATCAACGTGATCTATGCTATATAGATTACTTTACTTTCAGTAGAGTCGTGTAGCTTTTAAGAGGAGAAACCAACACAGCCAATCCTATCTTTGAAGAGAGATATATTTCTAACTTGCTAAGCATAATTTTCCAGGCGCGCGTGCACTCCTGATCTGTTTATTTTATAGTTGTCCATTTTTTATTCTGCACTCCTTTAAGAAAAAGTAAATTATAAAGTATATATTTTACTATTTTACTCATAATAATGATAGCAATATCAAAAAATCTTAAGAAATAATTTGGAGAATGAGTAATTAATGATAAGAATTAAACAAAAAAAAGATTATCTTTCTCTTAATTTGCTAAAATTAACAAGTAAAATTAAAAAATATACATAGTAGAAAAGTAAAAGTGAATGAAGTGAGTATGTATTAAAAGAAGTAGGGAAAACGTCTCATTTCTCTGGAAAATCTGTACGTATGAAGTTGAAATAACACGAATTCACTATTTGAAACGTCAGAAAGAAAGAAGAAACCCTTTCATTTGACATTAGTAAATCATGAATACAAAAGGCTATATATGTGAAGTTAGGAATTTTGTCTTTATAGCTAGCAAACTCCATGATCAAGCAATACTGGATTACTCCACGAGATATTCATTATATCTCTCTACTTTAATTTGCTAATTCACTCACAAAATACATAACATAATTACATATACTAGTACGGTTAAAAAGATAGAGAAACGGATGATTTTATCTGTAAGACTTAAGAACGGCACCACAGAAACAACAGATAATAGCTTTCCAAGACTTCCAGTAAAAGGGAACGTAACAAAATCTGGTAGCAGTTCGCATATCAGCAACTTGAGCGCCATGGCCGCAACGCGAACACGAACCAGCTGCTGGTTTACTCTGCCTCATCATCCTCTTCTGATCCACCAAAAAGCAAAAACACACCATTATATTATGCGTCACTGAACCGCGTACGTACTTTTTCAGACTCGAATTAAGGTACAGAATATAAGGAAGGGTTCGTTTTAACCAACTGTTGTTGCTTCAATGATGATCCAAGAAAGTGTTATGTTGGTCGATTATATACTAGTACGAGTACGTAGTAGTACATGGCATTTGATCCTTTGAGATTAAGATTTCGAGGGGCCACGAAACCGCCTAGGATATGGGGGTGGTGTGGTCCGCGTGGAAAGGGCAAAGGTGTTATTAATTAAACAAGGTTTTGGTCAACGTCCAAGTTCAGCTTCCAACCAAGGAACCATTGCCACACGTGGGAACTCTTGAATATGGTGTGGGCTTTAGATTTTTTAATCGGAAAAAGGCCTAAAATACCCCTTTACTATATGAGATAGGATATGCTAGCCCTCCGTTAAAAGTTGGTCTCTATTCTGCCCTTGCCGTCAACAAATGGGCTCGTATATGCCCTCCATCACTAATGAAGACTCATAAAGTCACGTGAAATATATGTGAGGGCAAGTTAGACCTAGTTCGAATTGTACGAGGGCATATATGAGTCAATTATAATAGTCATTTCTCAAACACTTCACAACTCCATATTAGTTTAATTAGACACCTAATTGACAACACCAAACTAATTATTACAGCAAATAAACTAAGTCATAGACACAAACATTCAAATGAACGACAATGACTTCATTAAATCCTAGTAGCTCAAAGGGGTCGAATTATAACAAAAGACAATGTCGGAATGTTCTAGTAGCTCAAAGGGGTCGAATAAGAAGTGTCATTACGGACTTACTGTCAATTATTTCATGGCATGGACAACTTTAAATGCTGAAGCATGAGGTAAGTAAATTTTTTGATGGGTTCTTTTAATTATTCCGATTTACTTGTAAATTTATTTTATTTATTTTTAATTTTTAGGATGAAAAATATTCCCATTGGGAATGGCAAGATGAAGAGCTTCCTCCTAGAGTTTCAAATATCATATGTAGTTTAAAGAAGGAAAATGAAGCTCTAATCCGTGAAAGAAATGCTCTCCAAAGGAAAATTTGATCTTAAGAATGTTATGATGCTCGTCGATCATGGAGGAATAGAAGCTTTATTGGAATTGGAAAGAAATGTTCTAATGAAGAAAGTGACCGATTTAGAGTACTCAGTTATGCTTGATGCTAAATTTCAGAAGATGATGTGGATTTTCATGCATGCGATATTGGGATGTCTTGTTATGTTCTTTAGATCAGTGGGAAATGATATGTAATGTTAGTGTTATTGTGGCTTAATTGTTGTCTTTTATTATGTAATGAAGCTTTATGTTTTTGTACAAGGATTTAATGAAGTCGTTGCCGTTCATTTGAATGTTTGTGTCTATGACTTAGTTTATTTGCTGTGATAATTAGTTTGGTGTTGTCAGATAGGTGTCTAAGTAAACTGATGTGAAGTTGTGAAGTGTTTGAGAAATGACTATTATAACTGACTCATATATGCCCATGTATAATTCGAACTATGTCTAACTTTCCCTCACATATATTCCACGTGGCTTTATGAGTCTTCCGTTAGTGATGAAGGGCATATACGAGCCCATTTGTTGACGGCAAGGGCAGAATAGAGACTAACTTTTAATGGAGGGCTAGCATGCCCTATATCATATAGTAAAAAGGCATTTTAGGCTCTTTTCCGTTTTCTTAATTCATATTGTAAATGAATTTTGCATTATCAATCACTTAAAAGATAGTTATAGGATTTATGTGATTATTTATTTGGATTTTAAGAGTCAAATTTCTTAATGTTGATTATGAATTAATTTCGATATAAAATCTTTTATGCTTTTTAGAAAACTTTACATTTTTTAAAAAGTACGGTAAATTACAGTATTTAAATAATTTAAAAATATATTAAAATATCGCGATAAGAAAAAAAACTCGTTTGACTCGATTTTGAAAATCCAGTTGCATTACATAAATTGGACAAAAGCACTAACTTTGTCATATAAGTGATTATTAACCTAAAAGATAAGACAAGCAGTAGGTTGTTAAATTATATTAACAATGCAGGAATTCTGCATATCATTATTGCATTTGAAAATAAAGTTGATTTCCTTGTTATATGATTCATGTATTTGAAGAAGGAAACCGGCTATACGTTCCTAGTTAAGGTATGGGCAACTGCCACATGTCCATTTACAGTTGGGATGATTCTATTCTTGTGTTTAATGCAGGGCATGTTTTTAAATTTAAACTCCAGTAGGACAACTCCATGTTCTGTGATGACCGATAGGTCATCTAGAGTTTTAACATCTAATTCTATAATTCGAAGCCTCCAATAGCTTCTTTAAGCCTTTCTCGATTTACAAAAGGCCTTTATGTTAAAAACTATTAAAATATGAAATTTTACTTCAAAATCCATTTGAGTTGACTTCGGTGAACATTTTGAGCAAATGGACCCCGGATCTATATTTTGACGATTCTGGTGGGTCCGTATCGTGATTTGAGATCTGGGCGTATGTCCGGAATCGAATTCGGAGGTCCCTAGCTCGAGTTATTGATTTTTGTCGAAAATTAAAAGTTTAAAAGTTTAATGATTTTTAAGAATTGACCGATGTTTGATTTTAATGATACCGGATTCGTATTTTAGTTTCAGAGCCCGGTACAAGTCCATTACTATATTTATGACTTGTTTGTCAAATTTGGTGAGAAACGAAGTTGGGTTGACGTGATTTGGACGTTCAGTTGTTAAAATAGAAGTTTTAAAGTCTTCTTGAAAATTTCATTTGATTTGGCTTCCGATTCATAGTTGTAGGCGATGTTTTGGAATTTTTATTGCACAAGCAAGTTCGTATGACGTTTTTGGACTTGTGTCCATATTTAATTTGGAGCCCCAATGGCTTGGGTGAGTTTCGGATAGGCTACGGACGTTTTGAAACTTAGAAAATCTGGTTTTTTGTGCTTCGCTGGTTTTTGGTGTTTCCTTCTTCGCGTTTGAGTGAACTGGGGCTGGGTAGATTTTCTTCATCGCGAACGCGATAGCTGGGTCATAAACAAGGAGCAATGAGGGGCCTTACCCTTCGCGAACGCGTAATTTTAGGGACCTGGGGGAGAGGACAGTTGTTCTTCCACGCGAACACGAGCACTGACCCGCGAACGCGAAGGCCAGAGGGGAGCAGCCTTCGCGAGCGCGAAGGCCAGAGGGGAGCAGCCTTCGCGAGCGCGAAGGAGAACTCGTGAACGCGAAATCCACTTGGGTTGTTGCACATCGCAAACGCAGTAAGCCCTTCGCGAACTCGAGGAAGGCATGATGCCCAGACCTTAAAACATTAAAAAAACGAGATTTCTCCCAATTTTCATAAACTTTCCATTAGAGCTCGGCCTAGAGCGATTTTGAAGAGAAAACTCAACATCAATTCATAGGTTTGTGCATCTTATCTTATTTTCTTTCATTTCTAACATCACCCATTAATTCCTAGCCCTAATCTTTGTTCTTTCATGGTAGGAAATTAGGGATTTAGGAAGAATTGAGGGTTTTTGCAAAATCGGGGATTTAGACCTCAATTTGAGGTTGGATTCCGCAACTAATTACATAATCGGGCTCGGGAATGAATGGAAAATAGATTTTGGTTCGAACCTCGGGTTTTGACCAAGTGGGCTCAGAGTCAATTTTTGACTTTTTGGGGGAAAGTTTGAAAATTCTAAATTTGTGCATTGTAATTGCTTCTTTTAGCAATATTTGATATTATTGCTTCAATTGTGACTAGATACGAGTGGTTTGGAGGCGGATTCTAGGAGAAAGTCCCCGGTAGAGCTCTGAATTGTCTTCGGAGTAAAGTAAGTGTTGAGTTTAACCTTGACTTGAAGGAATCAGGAACCATCAAACTATGTACTATGTGAATATATCATGTGTTGCGGCGTATATGCAAGGTGACAGGTGCTTATACGCCGCCAAATTACTTGTTTTCCTTGATTTTCTGTTTTTCCTTAATTATCTTATTTCATGTCTTAAATATTATATGCTCTAAATGCCTTCCATGCTTAATTGCTACCTGTTAATCCGTGTTTCCTTTTGTTAATAATGTTAGATCTTTTCATATTCTCATGATTCATTGCTACTTGTCTTAACTGACTTACTTGCACCTTCTAATTATTATTTACCGAACTTGACTTACTATATAATATTACCTATATGAATTCCCGCGTTATATAAGGCTTCTTTTTTTGGTTCAATCTGGTATTTATTAATCGTAAAGGTTCTCATGATTTGAATTATTGATTTGACTATGCACATTGAGTATTTGGTACTGATAGGGTGGTATCGGGTTGTACGCCGCAATAAGTGAAATAAAGATGGATTTATATGGTGAAATAAAGATGAATTTGTACTGATACGTTATGATCAGGTTGCACGCCGCAATAGGTGGAATAAGGATGGATTGATACGGTGAAATAAGGGTGAATTATGATATTGATATATGATGTGGTCGGGTTGCGTGTCGCAATATATATATATATATATTATTGTGTTGATGTTACTACGGTAAAATAAGGGAGGATTATTTTTTGTACGGTGGGATCGGGTTGTGCGTAACAAAAACCTATGTGTTTCTACTTCCTTGAGTTGTGTTTGTTCTCGGTAATTTCATTTGAAGCTCTAGGGATTGGCAGTTCTGAACGACACCGGCTTATTTCTTGAGACTGTAGCTTTTACCTTCAGTTCACTATCTTATCTTGTTCCGTATTTCCTTTTCTGCCTTTATTATATACTGTGTACAGGCTGTAGTGTAGGTGACATGCCTTAGCCTCGTCACTACTTTGTCGAGGTTAGGCTCGGCACTTACAGAGTATATGAGGTCGGTTGTACTCATACTACACTCTACACTTCTTGTGCAGATTTTGGAGTCGATCCCAACGGTGGTTATTAGCGTACTCGGATTGGACAACTTGAGGTAGAACTGCTCAGCGCACGCAACTCCTGGAGTCCCCTTCCCTTTTATTTAGCTGTGTATTTTCCTTCTAACAACTTTATATTCATTCCATCCCCTTGTATGTAATATTCTAGTAGCTAGTGCAGTTGTGACACCGATTCCAGGGTTATATCAGATGTTTAG